CCAGGATAAAAATTTTAAACCAAAGCTGTTTAATCTACAAAAAGTACTAAGCTTTCGTCGGTCAAATTTCCAAGCTATGGATGCATTGACAAGCACGGCCCCTTTAAGAACAGCACGGCTGGTACTAATGAATGGACCAATGACCCGTTCAAGGGTTAGAGCACAGAGGCGGCCAGTTATATAAACTAACTCCCGGATCCCAACGTTTTTACACTCTGACGATGTCGGTAGTTTGGCCGACGAAAGCTTAGTACTTTTTGTAGATTAAACAGCTTTGGTTTAAGATTTTTATCCTGGTGTTCAGATACTTTTATTACTGCCACGATTATATATATACACACACACAACTAGAATTCTTTTGGTCACAAGGCGTTGTTTTCTCATGCTAGCATTTGTCATGATCTAAGGTTTTCATGGTAGGACCTGCTTATTTAAATTATAGGGTGCTACACAACTGTGCTGCTTCACTTGCATAGCAATATTTGGTTCAGTGAATGGAAAAGGATGGAAAACAATTTCACCAATTACTTCTTTATGCTGCAGCTACTTTTTCACTTTGTTCCAGAGGATTGATGGATTTTCTAGAAATGACAAGGAACTGCAGCAGAAAAAGGAGACTAGAAAAAGGTCATTTTTTTTCTCTCAATTTGTAAAGGTTCCTATTGTACCAGAACTTTGTTCTTAAAGCAAAACCAATCAATGAATTATTTCCAAAAATGACACACTGGGGAAAAATTATATAGACTGTGTCCCCAAATATATGTATATAAAAGTTGAATTTATCAGTTTTCCAAGTTCATATCTTTGCAAGCAATACCTTAGAAACATCCATGAAACTTGGCTTTGCTGTTGAAATTAAGCCAAGTGTCTGAATAGAACAATTCACCAGCTGAGAAAGAATATCACATGCTGCTTCTGCAGACTCAGTACTGCTGTCAACCTGAAAAACAGCATTTCATCAAGATAAAGATTATCTCACGCTGCCATTCCTTTTAAACTTCTTTGCTAGCTTTAAAGCATATTGGAACCCTTTGATTCTCAGCACTACTAAGTGGACTTACAACACTTCCAATGTTAACTGAGTCACCATAGGTCTGTGGTGGCGAACCTATGGCACACGTGAGCCATCTTTGGTGCCACGCGAGCCATTGCTGGGCCGAGCTGCTCCCTCTTCCTCTCCGCGCATGCGCAACTTTCCGCAGAGCTGTGCATACGCAGTCTGGGAATAGGCGAGAGGCTATAAAGGAAGCAACTTTCGGCGGGAGCAGCATTTGCTGCAGACAGCGAGTGAGCACCAGTCGGAGCAGACAGCGAGCACAAGCCGACAGCGGTAAGTTTCAGCAGCCGGCCACGCAGGGGAGGACGACAAGGGGCGGCTGGCGGATGCCTTGCCTTGCCTTCGTGGGCGAAGGCAGCAGAGCGATAAGGGCGGCAGGGGGTGCTTTGCCTTGCCTTGGCCTCATTCGGTGACAGCAGAACGGTAAGGGCGATGGGGGGGGTGCATTGCCTTGCCTCGTTCAGCGACAGCAGCAGAGCTGTAAGGGCGGCGGGGGGGGTGCCTTGCTTTGTTCAGCAACGGCAGCAGAGCGGTAAGAGTGGCCGGTGGCGCAGGGGGTGCCTTGCCTTGCCTCGGCCTTGTTCGGCAACGGCAGCAAGCAGAGAGTAATGGTGGCCGGGGGAGGATGGGGCTGCCTCTCCTTGGCCTCGTGAGGCTATGGCGGCAGCAAAAGGCGCGGGGTGGCCTACCTGCAACGACGGCTTCCCTGTTCCGGGGTCCTCTCCTTTCGCGGCCTCTGCTCAGCAGCCAGCATGCCACCCGGCCAAAGGCGGGGACAACAGCTTCCCTGCCATGTCTCCATTTGCTTCTCAGTCTTCGCCACGTGTTTGTGGGACAAAAAAAAAGTTCCATGAGACTTTCTAACTTCTCGCGAGAAGTTAGAAAATCTCATGGAACTTTTTTTTAACCGATAGTCCCACAAACACGTGGCGAAGGCTGAGAAGCAAATGGAGAAACAGAATGCAGCTGCCCACGCCCAGTCCAGCCCACCCAGTCTGCCATTTCCACCATAGTCATGCCCACCCGGCACCCAGCGATACATAAGTGGGTTTTGGGTTGCAGTTTGGGCACTCGTCTCTAAAAGGTTTGCCACCACTGCCATAGGTCATTAAACGATACATTGTCTGACCACAACTTGCAATTTTAGGGCTGGCTTTTCCATTGACTCTGCTAATCAGAAGCCAGCTATGAAGCATGCAAATAGTGTGATCACATGACTGTGGGATGTTGCGATAATCATAAAACCCTACTGCTTATGAACATTTGAATCTTGATCATGTAACCACAGGGATACTGCTACGATTGTAAATGCAAGAACTGGTTGTAAATTTACTTTTACAGTGCCATTATAACTTCAACCTTCGCTAAACAGGTTGCTAAACAGGCAGTTGTTAAGCAAGTTCTACCTGTACATTTAAAAATATAAGAAATATAAGGCGCCACTGTGCATTTACTAGGATGTACCTGACATAGTATTCAGGTGATCAAGACTGATTCAGTTTTAAAGAAAGTACACTAAGACTTCAATCAAAAGACAGTCAAAGACAGTCCCTTACATGTTTATTCCCACAAATTTCTAAAGTTAGATGTGATGAGAAGTGATGAGTGATCCATATTTCAATCTGCTTCTTTTTGGTCTGTATATAAATATGTCTATTCACTTGTGCTAAATGTATTGTTTGCTGCCAGCAATTCTTCCCACACCTTCTGCTCTGAAGAACTGGGGGATTTATTTATTTATTTAGCATATGGCATATAATACATGCACTAGCAAAATATATTTGCATATATTAATATATTAAGAACTGGAAGATATTGTGAACCACATATGGACTGAAGGGACAAGGGCGTTAAGAGAAAACTGAGCTGGAGTCCCCAAATCTACTTTAACACTTCTAATTAGCATTTCTTCAATACTTCAAGTAGGCAATATATAAAAGAAGTTTCCCACACAAACAAAAAACAACAACAGAAAATATAATCCAAGGTGCAAACATACAAATTCAGAGTTATTAAAACATTCTTTACCTTGAAGCTTACATACTGCAAATGATTAGCATGTCTTTTGATAATCTNAACCATGTTTGTCATCTTGTAAAAAAAAGAACATGTGTTGCAAGTTGCAAGCAGGCTCGTGACCGCTTGGATGAAAAGATGATTCCAGAGCCTCTCCATTTATGGTGCTTCTGGATCCCTCAGCAAAGAACAACTGGATACAGAGCTGAGGAAGAGGACCACACAGGTTCTGGAAAGGAAAAGATTTCTCTCTTTACCCAAAAGAGGATGAAGTGATTAAGTGGTGAAGATTGGAGACGCCCTATTGAAACATTTTGAAGTAGCAACCTGCCAACTTATGAACAGAAATGTACTTCTTTTCTGGGTCTCACATTCAGAACATGATAGAAAAGTTCCTGACTATAACTTTCTACTGAGACACATTGAAACAAATGATACAGTTTGATATAGTCTGAAGATAGTGCAAGGAAATGAATTTCTGTGCAACAGAACAATGAATCTAGAGCAGACATGTCAAACTCGCGACGTCACATGACGTCGCATAATGTATCGGAGCTTTTTTGCCATTGCCGGCAATGGGGTGGGCGCGGCTCCAGTATGATGAAACCGGCCCACGGGCCGGCAGTTTGACACCCCTGATCTAGAGGTACTAACAGTATTTTTTAACCATTTCCTGTTGAATGATATGACCTTACAAGAAATTCTACAAGGATCAAATAATTGGTTAAATATGTTGTGCCAATGGAAACAGTTTGGACTCTGATTCTTTGAGATATATGGAGAACAAACTAAAAGAATAGAGCACTTAATGCAGAAAAAACAATATAATTTACTAAGCATTATTTAAGTCTGGTAGAAAGAAACTACCAGAAGAACGCATAGGGGAATGCACAAATTGAAGAGTGTAACTTATTTAAAAAATTATAGACCATATACAGTATCTCTGTCCTTAGAGTCACCTGAATCAGAGTACAAATGGGTGTGGAACCTTCTTGGGACTGCTGAAAGGACTGTGTTGTAAACAGAAGTGTAATGTTTTCAAGGAAAAAAGCAAGGAACTCCAGTTGCCTTTTAGAAAAGTACCCTTGAGATATGAAATTACAAGCATATTATTGTGATGATGTGCTACAGATGGCCATGTCAGGCAGAAGATTACAAAGACATATGGAAGAGAGATCTAGGAATAATGGAAGACTTCAATTACCTGGACATCAGCTGGAAAATCAAATCAGCCAAGTCTTTCCTTGTTGATTGTTCATTTTTCCAAAAGAAAATGAAGGAAAAAAAGGTGGCTGGTGCTCCTATATCTGATTCTAATCAACAGGGAAGGGCTGGTTGAAGAGCTAAACAGAAAGGGAACCCTTAAGAGAATGGGACATGACATGATTTTCAATATGCTGGCCATATGACACACACTATATTTCAGGAGAGCTAATGTCAGCAAACTCAGAAAAGTACTAGGCGGAACCCCATGGATGGCTATCCTCAGATTAAACAATATAGGAGAGTCAGTAATGTTCCCAGAATAAGACCAACTACACTCCACTCCAATGAGAAGAAAGATGGGAGAATTTAAGAAGCCATTATGGTACAGGGGATTGGACTAGTTGAGTCTTTCAGATTTTATGTTTTATGGTTCTATGAAATTCAGAGCATTCCACAGCAGGTTAACATTACCAAACTGTAATATAATAAACCTGCTTCTTCATTTAAAAGATTAGCCCCTGTTGCTACTTCCAAAAATCTATTCAAAGTTTCTAGTTAAGAATGAACCCAGCAGCCGCAATGACAAGAGTAAAAATTGGCATGAAAAAAATTCTATATAGCAAGATAATTTTGAAACCAAAGGGCAAAGACAATACAATAAGAATAGTTCGTCACTCTTGCCGCAGCGTTGCATTTTTGTTTACTTGGGTTTATTACTTACCAGCAGGGGACACATGAGGGCAGCTGCTCATTTTAAGCAATTTTAAAGTATCACTATTATTAGCAACAAGGACCTTCAAGGATGGATCATCTACTGGAGTATCTTCAATCTTAATGGAAGATAATGACTTGGAATTGATGAACACCACTGTCAGCGCTGATACAAAATGAGCCTATTCAAACAAATTAAAAAGGAAATGTTTCACATACATCGGCTTTTACAGTTATAAATTCATTGCACTTTCAGAAGTGATGTTTATCTAGAAGTATTTAATGAGTCATTACCATAAAATACACATAAGGTTTAGAGCTATTAATATTGAAGAGCAGACTCCTAACAATCAATGAATCTTCTTTATGAGTACACAAGTCCTAAATGCAATAAAGATGCTTTTTAAGTTTATAATGAGATATTAAGTTCATACTGAATTACTCAGGAGATCAAATTCAAATACTGAGGTAACAGCATGATTTTGCCAAAAAATTATAACCAATTATGTCATTTAGATGAAAGAAAAGCATTGAGCAATAGATTACTTCTCCTCACCCCGTCTGGTTAGTTGAATATCGACTGCAGTAAATTAGAGAGGCACACAGAAAATGAATTGTGGGAAGAGAATTATTGTGAAGTAATTATAATTACATCAATTTATGAAATAATTTGAAATAATTGTGAAGTACTGTTTGAATGGAAGTTCACTTGAATTATATTGAACATAGTCCAATGACATGTGGATGTGTTTTTTTTTTTTAAAAAAACCCCTCTTCTTATAGATTGTATTATCAGGAATGTTGCTCTAAAACAGGGGTGTCAAACTTAGTTTCACTGAGGGCCACATCAGGGTTGTGATGGACCTTGGGGGGCCGGGTGGGCATGGTCAGGGTGAGTGTGGTCAGGGTGGGCGTGGCCAGCTCAACATTGCTTGTGTTGGGCACCTGTGTGGTCTGGGCAGGGCTGGGGGGATCCAGGCTGGTCCTCAAGCTCCCAGGGCACTGGGACCTCACAGCCCAGCCCTGCTATCCCAAGAGGGCGCCCTGCTGCGCTTATCTCCTCCTCGAAGCTGCTGCTGCTGTTCTTGCTCTCCTTGGCCAGGTTGCTCATGATGTGTGTGGGAGGGCAAAGTATGTGGTCAGAGGGAGGCCCACTCTCTCTCCATATGAGGAATCCTGACTTTGTAACTAAAGTATCCGCAGCAATAGGATGGGAGATCAGTAGAAGGGATCAAGAGGAGGAGATAAGCGGATGGCAAAAGGGCAGCAGGGCTGCTGGTGGCCAAATGCTAAAACAGCACTTCGCTCAGACCCTCCCTCTCTCTTATTGTAATCCCCTCCCTTCCTTCCTTCTTCCCTTTTCTTCTTTTTCCTTCCCTCTTTATTCTTTCTTCCTTCTTCCTTCCCTCTCTCTCCTTCTTTTTCCTTCCTTACTCTCTTCCGCTCTTTCCTTCTTTTTTCTTTGTCTTTCCTCTTTCCTTTCTCCTTTCCTGTCCCTCCTTCTTGGATGCTCAAATGCAAAAGGGGAAACATTTCTCGATGCCTTCTTGCCTTGTGATCGTATGCCACTTTTGCTAGTAGTTTGTGACCACTTAAAAGACGGAGAACAAACCAGGCTCAGTTTATCCCGTGCTTGCATTTAGTGGGGGTGTCCACAGACAACAGTACAGCACACACACACACGCGCGTGCGCGCACACACACACACACACAAACATGTGCAGGTTCTGGGAGAGGTGAGCTGAGAGCCATGGAGCAGGAGGAAACGATAGGGAAGTAGTCAAAATGGGAAACTTCTGTCCGGAGCCTCTGGCAGCTCAAAAAAAAAACAAAAACATGTGGAGCAGTGGCTTCCCTTTCAGTCCACCCTCCCCTCCGTTGCCTCCACACCAGGGTTGACTCTAAGCCTGACGAAAGGGCGGTTTTGCTTTTGACCCCCCCCAATGCCAGAAACCGAAAACTGCTGCAGTTCACCTGCCGTGTCCCCTTGACAGCCCCTGCAAACTCCTATTGCACGCTGGCAGGCAGAATCCTAAAGCTCCCATTCTGTTTCCTCCGTGCGGAAGCTGCTGGCCGCGGCTCTCCCACTTCGGGGGCGGGGTGATCCCAGTGAAAGAAAAGCCTTGCAGGCTGTGAGACCAGGCCGGCGAGTGGGGCAAGGAGGCGCTAGTGCAGAGGAAGGTGAGCAGCAACCCCAGCGGCAAGAAGGGCTGCGGAAAAGAGCAGAATCTGTGTGTTCGCCTGCTACAAGCTCATCCATCCGCCTTTGCTTTCCACACCTTGGATCAGCTGTAGTGCACCGAGGAGAGCTTGGCTGACATGGGCAAGGCAGGCGCACACACAGACTCTGCTGTTTTCAGCGGCGCTTTAGTGCCTGGCCCAGCAAAGTGGAGCTAGGCATGGTGAGGCGAGGGTCGGCCAAGCAGAGCGGACAAGGAGAGGCAAGGCTGGGAGGGGTGGGGCGAGGCCGGGTGGGGCGGAGTGAGGCAAATGAGCTGCAGCTGCTCCTGTGTACCATCAGCCTCTGAGTGCTCATCATTTCCTGTGCGTGTGCTGGGAGATCGCCCAGTCAGGTTGGGGTGGGCCAGGGCTGGGGCAGCGGGGGCCGGTCCCTTGCCATTTCTGGAACAGCTCCAGGGGCCAAATTTGGACCCTTGGCGGGCCGTATCCGCCCCGCGGGCCTTGTGTTTGACATGTCTGCTCTAAAGCTTCCCCATCTCTAGTCAGCATGATCATGGTGGATAGTGATGTGAATTACAATAAACCATCTTGAATACTCATTTATCTAATTTAGCAAAAATATGCAGTACAATTGTAAAAATTTGTGGATAAATGGATCAGCAAATGGCTAAGATTTTCAGAAGCAACTAAACGGTAATAGATCACTTGAATATTCCAGCTCTTACAAAACTATTGTATGATACAGGAAATATACGTAAATTTTAAAGAACATGGATTTGGAGCATTCTATTTCAGCAACCTCATCCCATTCATAACATTTTTTTTCAAACTTGGTATATTTTCTAATTTTGCCTATGTACTGATCATCAAGTGATCAACATACTACTAATGTAATATTTTCATATATATATATATATATACACACTCCCATATTTGGGCCGACAGGGTGCATCAAAAAAACAATCAAGACATATATATATATATATATATATATATATATATATATATATGTCCTTTAAAATTCTAAAAATTGGAGGATGACTCCTGGGTAAATTCATGTTCGAAGGGTCACAAGCAGTGAGACCACCAGGAGATTAAAAAGTTACAAAAATTTATTGCTATTAAAACATTAAAACACCTAGCTTTCGCCGGCCTCCTGCCGGCTTC